CCCTCCAGCCTGCTGGATGAGCTCCTGGACACCCCCGAGTTTCTGCAGCAGGCGCAACCTTTGCTCGAAACGGAGGCCCCGACGGAGCTGCAGGACGTGGGAGAGCCCGCTTTGGTGGAACCGCTACTCCTCAGCGAGGAGGAGTACCGGGCTCTGCTGGAGGACCTTTAGGACGCGGGGTTGGGGACGGGATCGGGGGCGGGGCGGTGGCCTCCCTTTCGCGGTGAGCACCTGGCTGGGTGTGGAGAGGCGTCTCTTCCCTTCCAGCTGACCTGGCCCGGATCCCTGAGTTCCAGGTCCGGTGAGAGACTCCACACAGAGCAGGGCTGTCATTCTTTCCTGAGCATCCCGGGGATCCCGGAGCCCTCCCAGGTACCGGGAGGTGGACTGTCTACTGCGCATGCGCGGGTTTGCAGGCTACCGGCTGGGTTTTCCCACCAGACCAGGCGGAGCTCTCGTCCCTTCCCCCATCCCCCACCCACGTTCTTCAGTGGGGTGGGCGGAGACCTCCATCCCAGGAAACACTGGCCCAGACAGCCGCCAGGCCTGCTCTCCTTTCCCCGTCTCGCCACCTCTGCCTCCCCCCGCCACCTTGACTCGCCTGCCGGTGCATCACCTTGGATCGCCTGACAGCTAAACGCAGACCCTAGACCCCGCGCAAACCCGGGTGCTGCCCTTTCTACGCCAGAGGCAACGCAGGCAGAGATGGGTAGCGGAACGGAGACAGAGAGGGAGGGAGCGATGGAGGGAGGAAAGAACGGATGGACGGAGGGACCTTGGAGGGAAGGGATGGAAGGATAGAGGGAGGGAGGGAGGAAGGAAGGAACTGAGGGAGGGACGGAGGGAAAGAGGGAGGGAGGGAACAGGGATAGAGGAAGGAAGGCAGAGAGAAAAACGGTCTTCTGCCTCCAGGACCAGCAGGACCCAGCACTCCGGGAAAATGTTGGGTGCCCAGTGCGGGCTAAGGGCTCGGCCCACAGCCCCGTTGGCCGGCGGGGCGCCCACTGGCCCCCTGGATCGCAAGCCTGGGTCACTTCATCCCGGAGCAATTCAGACAAATTCCGCCTCCCAAGGAATGGGCGATTTCCCGAGAGAGCAACGAGCCGAGACTCGCGTGGTTGTCCGTTTTTCATCCACATGGTCCACAGATGACATAGCCCCACGTTAAGCCTGCAACAGAGCGCGAGGCGGATAGTCCCGTCCGCACAGGAGTCACACTCAGGCCAACTGTAGCCTGGTTTCGGGTTCCACGTCCCTTTGCCCTCTGCAAGGGGGCCTGTTGCTCACGTGTCTCTGGCCCCCGAAAGCGAGATCATATGGACTGTTTCCCCAGCTCTGTGGGGACCCAGAAACCTCCAGGGAAGCGTGGAAAAGCAGCGCCGTGTCTTCGCTCTCCTTTCCAGTTTCCAAACCGGCCATAGGGAGACTCCCCTTCTTGCAGGAAACGAATCCGTCGTCAGGCCGTGATGCTTCCATCCCCTGCCCAGGCTACTGGCTCTCCGGGCGGCCTCCCTTTCGCAGGCGCTGCAGGCCTTCCCCGGCTCTGGAGCTCCCGAGCTTCCACCACATCCGGCCGGCTCAGGATCGGGTGTGCTCCGAGGCGTCAGGGCCCAGGACTCAGGGTCCTGGGATACCCTCCGGTCCTCCGCCTTGCCGCGGAAACATTGTTTCGGATCCCTCGCCGCCCCTCCTGCAAGGCGCCCTCTTGCGCCCCACACACAGAGACACCAGGGCTGCCCAGGGGCGAACAGCTGGCCCTCCGGGAGGCCCGTCTCTCTGGCCAGTTCTTCCCGGGTGGCGATGCCTGGAAAGCGATCCTGCTGGAAGGCTCGCAGGAGCAGGGCGGTCTGGGACCGGGTGACGGCGGTCCGCTGTCGCCTGCCTTCTTGCGGGCCGCGTTTCC